CATGCTCTTCTTGACTTTATTGTGTTGAGAAGTCTGCTGTGATTCTAGCTTTTCCTTTTAGGTGATCTGTCTTTTGTCTCTAACAGCTTTTATCTCTAACAGCTATGTTGGATTTCTGGGATGGTGATTATTATATGTATGGGTGTAGTTTTATTTTGGTTATGGCTACTTGGAGTTCTTGATATCATTTGTGTTATCCCCTTCTTTTTCATTTATCGCTATCAAGCTTACATTGTTTTTCTTTGCATCATCTTGCAGCTATTGAATTGTTATTTCCTGATTCCTTGTTAATTTTAAAAGATCTTTCCTTTCCTATTCACTAGCTGCAATATTGTCTTAGAGGTCAAATTCTATCTTCATTTTTGTTGAGGTGGTTTTGACAATTTTCAATGGACTTTTGATTTCCTGTATGTCTCTGTGAATCTGCTTCATATATTCTGTTTGTTTCTTGTATTGTTCTTCCAGGGATTCTTTTTATTTTGTTCCTCTAATTTTTTAACTGTGTCTTCTTTAGATGTGTTCAGCATCTCTTTAATTACTTTTATCATTTCTTCTTTTACTTGGGAGATTATTTCTAGTTTGAATTCCTTTAAAGCTTCACCGAGTTTCTTCTTTATTTCAGTTGCTATTATTTGAGGTATTTCAGGTGTATGGCATATATTTTCTTCTATGTACATGGCTTATAGGCTTTCTTGGGATGGGCTAGAGGTCTGAGATTGCATTTTGGTCTTTCCTGTTGTCATTTCCCTATATTTCCATGTTTCAAGTGTTGTTCCAAGGCTTTCCCTGGATGTGTTGGAAATCGTCTTCTATGCCTGTGGCTCCTGGGAGTGAATGGAGGTTGCTGAGTGTGGTCCAGTAAGTCCCACTTGACCTCCCGTGTTCCAGGAAGTGGGGTGGGCACCTAACCACTGTGGATGATGGTCCAAAGCTCTCCCCGGGCAAGGACCAATGTGCTGGAACTCACTTCATGTGCCCTCACCTCCCTGATTGAAGACTGTTGCTGGGTCTAGTCAGGCCGCAATCACTCCCAAGCCTAGTCTAGTGTGGCTGGAAGCTGGGTGAGTCCTTGACCACTGGGAGTGATGATCTTAAACTCTCCCAGGGCTTGAGATGGTGTGGCAATGCTGTTACTAAAAACTGAAATTTAAAACATATTTTCTCCTCTCTTACAAAGTTTGTATTGAACTATTTCTTCCTTATGTGTTTAAAAGAATTCAATAATTAAGCCATCTGATCTTATAGTTGGATTTTCTTAATTATGGATTAAATTTCTTTAATACATTGCTACTTATGTCATCTTGTTTTCTTGTGTTTTAATATTTATGTCTTTCAAGGCACTAGACTATTTTATTTAAATTACCAAATTTGTTGGCATACAGTTGTTTAGAGTATTCCTTTAACTTTTTGAATGATCTTTGAATCTATACTGATGATCTGTTTTTCAATTATGATACTGATAATTTATGTTTTCTCTTCCAGATAGGGGTTTATCAACTTATTTAGCATTTTGAAGGAGTGGCTTTTGGTTTCACTGATTTTTCTCTGTAGTTTCTCTGTTTTCAATTTCATTGTTCTGTACTATAATCTTTACTTTGTGTCTAATTCACTATTTGTTTTTACATCCTTCAAAGACAACAAAGATCATTGTATTGGTCCTTTCTTTTTGTTGTAATTTAAACTCATTAGTTCTCTCTAGGCACTACTTCAGCCATTTTGATAACTTTTTCTCTTTTTTTCTTTGCATAAATTTTTTATGTTGCATTTTGCTTACTATTGTTATTTTCTATTTTTGTGATTTGATTTCTTCTTTGACCCATGAATTGTTTATAAATTGCTTAATTTTCAGCTGTTTCAAGGCTTTCTTGATACTTTTTTGTTTTCTATTTATATTCAGTACTGTTAAGATCAGAGAATATGCTTTGCAAGTTTTATTCCTTTGAAATATATTGAGGCTCATTTATTAGCCTACCACATAGTTTATCTTTGTAAATGTCCATCTGTATTTTAAAAGAATATTTATCTTATAACAGTTGGGGGTAAAGAGTGCTATGAACATCAGTTAAGAACATTGATAATATATAAACCTTTAATATCATTTTTAAACCAAAGCCTGTAGTATTTTATTACAGTAAATAGAGTCAAAGGCTTTTGTAGGATTATTTTCCAAGTCATGTTTCATGGTCAAAGTAATTCAGAACTAGAAAATAACTCATGATAGAATGCTTTAAAAAATGTATTTACTTAACTGTAATGCCAAACACTGGCTTTCATTTATTTTTATTCATGTTTTTCCCATGGTGATGTAGAGAATCTTCAACTCAATATAAATATTTCATAAATATTTGACTATTTGGGTATACACCTCCACAATATCTCTCATCTTTTAGCAAGAAAGACACTAAAGAGTAAAGATCTGACATAACTAACAAGTTAGAATGAAAAGGAGAATCTGCTCCAAATATTTATTTCTCTGAGGTAAAGGCATCACACACCTATTCAGTTAAGAAAAGCATCTTGGGCTGGTGATATAGCACAGCAGCATGAGTGCCTGCCTGGCAAGTACAAGGTCCTGAGTTTGATTCCCATTATCAAAAAAAAAAAGCATCTTTACAATTCAGGATACTTTTAAAACTTTTAAGCAAAGTCTGAAACACTTAGCCACTAATTAGGTGCTGAATAGCAGAGCTTATGCCACGAAACCCCAGGGAACAGGTTCCAGCAACTCAGGCTCCTCCTGTTGGTTCTCACAAAGGGTGCTTATCTAAGCCAGCAGGCTGGTGCTTCTGCTGAACTTAGGTAGCATCTCTTTGGCTCCTTTTTCCTCTAATCATTTTCTTTGATGTACTTTAGGAAGCTATCTTGACTCTTAAAGTGCTTAACACGTGCATCAGTTTTGTCCTTGTTTAAAAGGCCAACCGCATGTTGGATAACGTTGCAGACTGTTGAAATTTTGCTGTGGTAACATTTGTGAGGCGTTCCTTCACAAATAGTACCCATTCCCTTGATGTCTATTGTATTAGCCATCTTTAACTCCTATCTATGTAGCTTAAGAAACAACCTTATGTTTTCTAAGAGGCCTTGATGGCTTATGCTAGGTTCTTTCTGCTTACCTTTTGTATCTGTTTTGATAAATAAGTAGAAGATGCTGATTCAAGCCAAAAGCCAAAGTCTTCCATATCTTCACTGATTGTGTTCTTATCTGAATGAACCATCAATTACCAAGAAAATTCTGTTAAAATATCCAATGATGATTATAGATATGGTCCCTCTCTCCCATTAGTTCTGACATTTTTCTTCACATACTTCTAAAATCTATTGTTATCCACACATATAGTTATAATTGATGTAGCTTCTGGATGTATTCTTTTGTTGTTGTGAAATATCTGCTTTCAGGAATTTTTCAGGAACAGTCCTTTTCTTCATGTTTGCAATTGCAAAGTTGTATATGTTTATATAATTCTAGTACTGCCAAGTTCTCCCCCAATATTTGGCTGCTACTGCTTGTACATCATATTTCACAGGGCTGAGGGAACTGTACGCTCATAGGTACAGTTGTTACCGCAACAAGAGTGTTGGGCGGTAACAGGACCAGTGCAATATCTGATAAGGCTGTGGCACCAGAGGAAGGAAGAAAGTGGAAATTACTGTGGACTTTCTGCTACTTTTTGACTCTTAACCCATAAAATGAAAAGGGATGGACCACAGGCTTCACAGTCTTTGGTTCTGGGCTTACTTCCTGTCTTTGCTAGTTATTAACTGTATGGTCTTGGGCAAGGTATTTAACTTGTTTCATCATGTGTAAAATAGGAACACATAATAACATATAATGTATTTTTAAAAATGAAATTTTATATATGTACGTTACATACATATATACATTGTACATCTCTATACACCCATTTACAGTGCTTAGCAAAGTATAAGTGCTCAATAAATATATTTTATATATGTATTATTACATTTTGTTATATTACACTTCTTTCATGTAGTCTAGTCCCAATTTTCTTGTTAATTTCAGTTGTGAGCTTTAATCCTCTTTCATTTCTTTTCCTTATTTTTCCCAGTTGTCTCTGACCCCACTCCTTTTCTTAAGTTTTGGTGTCCCAGCCCTGCCAAAACTAGATTTAATAACCTCAAGAATTACAGACTGCAATTAAGATAGTTTCTGCTTGCTCTGATTACTATGCCACTCCTCATCAATCTCCAGAACATGACCAGGACTTTAATTTTTCCTCTGGAAAAAAACCTGGAGTTACCAGTTACCAATGTGAACATAAATAACTGGCATTTATGTACCTAGTTCATAAGCGCAACCTGTGTGTACTTGTGATGAAAGAACACCGCTTTGCCGCAAAAGAGCCCCATAAATATTTTTAGCAAAAATCATCAGGAGAGTTTTTAAAAGTCCATTAAAACAGACATTTGAAAACTCAATTCGGCATCTTCTTTTCCACCCTGGGAAGTATTCTCTCCTGAAGCATTCCCAGCTAGATGGTGTTTGATGTTCCTGACCCCAAAGCATGATGTGAAAGATCATGGTTTTGGATATTGCTTAGCCTTGGTGCTTGCTCTGAGTTATTTAACTTTTGGTTTGTAGATTCTATGTGGCTATCATCCTCTCTTGCGGCTCTCTCTTTAGAGAATCCCCTCCTAAACCCACATCCACATAAATTTCCCCATTATAGGCTTTCATCCATGTTGTCACAGTTTCCCCTTTTCACGTAAGTATTTTTTATCAACGCCAGCCTCCTCTACTGGACTGCAGGCTCCAAGAGGCCAAGGACCAGAACATTCACTGTGCTACTGTCCCCCCCATACCCAACACATCACTGCACATAGACTCAGAGTGTAACACAGCGCGTGGCACACAGGAGGCACTCAGCAGGCAGCCTCCTGGCCCAGTCCACGGAAGGCTGTCCCGGGGGCGTGGAAGGAACTAGTCTGACCCACATACCCCGCCCACGGCTGGGGAACTCTCGGCTCCCAGCCCAGCTCCCAGGAGCCTCCCGGCCGCGCCCTCTCGTGACGTCACGTGGGCGGGACTTCCGGCCGCCCAAGTTTAACAGTCCAGGCGGGAGCCGGAAGCGCCGGGCGGAGCGGTCTGCGCCGTGGCCCCCTGTTGTTACCCTGTCGGAAGGTGAGGTTATGGGGGCGCTGGGGTCAAGTGGTCACCGCTGGTCGTGCCCCAGCCCTCCCCTTCCCCCCAGCCCTCCCCTTCCCCCCAGCCTCCTCCCTGTGACCTCAGAGTGGGGGCCGGAGGCGGCCTGGTCCCGCGCGCCTCTCCAGCCCTGAACCCGGGCGGCGGCGGGGCGGGGGCGCGGAAGTGCGGGCGCCTGGGGTCGCGCTCATCCGCGGCTCTCGGCTGCAGCCCGATAGGTGGCCCGGGCCAGCCAGGCGTGGTTAGCTGCGACTTTGGGGAGTGCGCTGATCCCGGAAAGTTTGCATCTTTCCCCAAAGTCCGTCTTGCTTTTCTGTAAACCTGAAGCACGATTCCTCGGGTAGGCACTTGGTGCATTTTAAGGGGTAACTCCCTTGGAGAGCTCTTCGGAAAGCGGGATGCCTGCTGGTGCAGGAAAGTTGGAGAACTTCTGTTTCAGCGGGGTGTGGTGGTTGCATTGTCTCAGAAGCCGCCAACTCCAAGCCGGTGTGCTGTGCCCGGTGTGGTGTCCTGGCAACTGTCTTGGGATGGGCACCCTTTCTGAGAGACACAGGTCACCCCTCTTTGTTGGGTGGATGGGCGGGGATCACTCTCCCCGCCGGTTGTCTAGAGAGGGAAACGTGCCAAGACTGCCAAAGTTGCCGTCCCGTAAGTCGAGGCAGGTATTTTGGAACTCGGGTTTTGTGAATCTTGACTTCGGTGACCCGCCCACTACACCAGTTAGCCCACGGACCGAAGAAAGTAGCTTGCGTTTGTTTACCGGCCTCAGGGGTCTGCCTTTCCAGTGTCATTGTTTCTTTTTGGAGGCGGGAACCCCGAGGGCACGTGTTACATCTGTTTGAGTCATCAAGTGGAAACGCTGAATGTCTGCGTTTGCCCAGGTGACCTTAGGGTTTTCAGTAGCACTGCGTTTATTTGATAAAAGCATAATGCAAAATTTGAGTAGTTTTCCGGGTTAAATGCTTTAGCCTTTGTATTAACATATTAAACAGTTTGTCTCGAGAATGAAAGATTCCTATAATTTATCGTGCTATTAACTTGCCCTCCGAATCAGAGTATATTAGACATAAATCTGATGCTTTGTTGATGACTTGCGAAACTTGTCTGTGATACCACTATAGCTGTGTAGTACTCTTGCACTGTCCATGCTAGGATGCTGTGGGGAGTTGTGTTTCTAGGCCCTTCTTTCTGCCATGTATTTTTGAGCATGTTTTTTTTTCAACTGTCATCTTTCTATTCGACTTGTTACTCTTGAAATATCTGCCTAGAGTGGCTTGCTTGCCTTCTGTCTTCCAGACTGTCTTGGGTTGTGAAATCTTCGTTTTACTATTACGTGTTTGAACTACAAGACGGGCTAAGGAGGTTGGATATTCTTATAATTGGTGTGGCGAACTCATAGAAGGATCGACTAAGAATACGTGATGTGGTGTAAGTTTTAGAACGATCAGTCCAGCTACTCCAGGGTAAGTACACTGTGGAATACGACAGAGGTAGACAGAGCCACTTATTTTATGCTGGATGCTTCAGCTTTTTTCTTCTTTTTTTGGTTGTTCTTAATTGTATTTAAGATACGTTTCTGTAAACTTTTTGTAGGTGCAACCATGCAGGAAAACCTCCGATTTGCTTCATCGGGAGATGATATTAAAATATGGGATGCTTCATCTATGACACTGATAGATAAATTTAACCCACACACATCACCACATGGAATTAGTTCAATGTGTTGGAGCAGCAATAGTATCCTTTTTTTAAAAGGAGGTACCTTTTTATTTGACATTGAAGCTAGTACCAGTGAAGTTTTTGCATATGACACATGATGAGAACTATATTTTATGTGACTACTGTATAAGATGAAGAATAATTTTGGAAAATAGCGCATTGATTTTACCTGTTGATTTTTAAAAAAATATTTAATTGCCACCTACTTTATTCAAAAACAGTGCTGTTACAAAAATTGTATTTTACTCTCTAGATCCAGACCATAAAGTACTTGTCCTGTCAACAGTTTATTTATGGAACCAAATGGGATATAGTGGGTCATGGTATAAAAGTTTTGAAATGAGGTTTTGAATCTACATTTGGGTATTTCTAAATCCAATGTAGAAACTAGTAAAGGAGAAATAAGATGTCCAAAGCTAAAAAGAATTATCCTGCATGCCCATCTTAGTGATGTTCTGTTTGTATTTCTCTTTCTGTATGTAATAAAAACATCATTTCCTAAACAGATACGGTGAAATTATATACATTGAATTTCCCTAAGTTTCTGATACCCTCCCTGGCCTGATGAGCTCCTAATTGTGAATAGAATAAATGAGGGAGTGAATCCTATTTCTCACCGTGACAATGGTGACGATGTTAACATTTCAGTTCCCATAATTCTTTGTTGCAGAGGCTTTCCTATGCATTGTAGGGCCTTTGGAAGCGTCCCAGGCTCCTACCCACTAGTTGCCAGTAGCGCCCAGTCTTGGACTACTGAAAGTGGCCCTTTACCAACTCCAGTGTTCAGTTACTCAAGTTTGTCTTTTTTTTCATGGCACTTGCTATTACTGTATGAGACCAAAAGTGTCTTAAGAATTGCCAGAATTAACCCCAGTAGAGAAGCACTCGTGTTTGTAGAGCCCTGCTAAGTACGCTCGTGACTGTGAAGATGTCCTATGAAATTGGTGTGCTAAGAATTATTCTTGTGTGACTCACTTACCCTATTTAAGCAGAAAGCAAGTTTTAATATCAAAATAAAACGTTCTACATTCATTGATTAAAGAAAAAATTCAAGCTTTAAACTTTATGACCACTATCTATTGCAAATACTAAACAAAAATGACAGCTTTTCTTCTTTAATTAAATTTACTTCAACATTCCTTGATTTTGTATTAAAGTAGTGGCTGTGAATGAGTGCTGTGTGACTTTGTGAAGGGTGGTCTCTTGTCTCCATTTCTGTGGTCTCCTGTCTGAGGCTGTATGCAGATAGGCCTCCTTCCTGAGGAGCTTTGACGCCCTGGGGTGGTGGAAGAACCAAGCTTTCCTAGATCCCTCAGCTTGGGATCCTAGTGTAGATTCCAAGGATGAGATTAGTGTGAGGTGCCAGAGAAGTTGGTATTTTTGTTTTGATTTTTGGTTTCTTTAAAGTAGTGTTCTCATTTTTCTCATGTCTTTTAAAAAAAACTACAAGAGACATTTAAAAAGGTCTTACCCTCTTATATTATGTTTTCGTCCTTTTCTGTGGTAAAGAAGCCAAGGAAAGAAGGAATTTGTATTCCAGTTTTATACTACCTAGGTAAAAATGATTTTGTTTGAATCATACGAAATTTAAGATCCTTGGTCCACTCACAGAATATCTGAGTGGTGTGCAATACCCTGAAGTCTCACAGATAGGACTCAGTGTGTGATTGGCTACTCTCCATTGCTTCTGTGCAGGCTTTGCTTACTGACAGCATAGATTGTAAACCTCTGATATTTGATGCCTCTCAAAATTACTCTTTGAAAACAAAGCAAAAATCTAGATTTTTTTCATTATTATAATTTTAATTTTGAAATCCTTGCTTTGTCTTAAGTTTACTGATTACTCCAGATAGTTTCTGTAAATAAGATAAATTAATTTTCAGTTGTTACATTTAATTTAAAATAAGATATAACTCTTCCCTGACATTTATTTAATTACACTTATGTATATTGACCATGGTTACTGTTATATTCATTTCTAATACATGTAAGTTTGAAATATACTGCCACAAAAACTCCAATCTTGAAAAAAATAAGAGATTTCACTTTTTTTTAGTGGAAAAATTGACTAATACGGGTATTTGCTCCTTAAATTGTTAGCAGGCACAGGATTAATAAATAAGTATCTTGAGCGGTTTTGGTAAATGAGAAGACCGATTGATATTTGCTGATGTTACTTTCATCATGCTCTCGTTCTTGATGGATAAAATTAGACCTTCTGGCCAGCCCTGAAAATGGAGTAGTATTTCACATGCGCTAAATAGCTTTCAAGTGATAGCCCCGCCAGGAGGATAGTTCTCCCCTGCAGTAGCAGCAGTAAAGGGAATTAGTAATTAGTAACCGGAGCCATTTTTGAAAGCTGATGAATAAGCTGTGTTCACTTGCTTGTCTTCTCAGCATTTACTTGTGTGATTGCATTTTTGTAATGATAGTCTAGTGTGTGTAGATGCTCAATGACCGTTTGATCTTCCATAACTCTTCATTCAGACAACTTTCTAGTAACAGCGTCTTCCAGTGGTGACAAAATAGTAGTTTCAAGCTGCAAATGTAAGCCTGTCCCACTTTTGGAGCTTGCTGAAGGGGTAAGTATTTTTTTAAATTTAATTTTTAAAATTTTCATTGAGAATCTTAGTTCTGTCTGCATGGCAATTGCTTATATATTGTGATGCTTGCAGTTAAAAATAAAGGTGCTTGAAAGCATCATTCTTAACCTAAATTCATAATGATACTGTAACACTTAAAGGTGAGATACATGTGCTTACTGACATCTTTAGGTAAAGTATGTGCATCTTTGGGGAGCAATTGGGAACTTGGATTTTATTAATTATGCTTTTTCCATTTCGTCTTTGTAGCTGGGACCCTGTTGATTCCTGACTTAGGACTCTGCAGTACCAGGTCGTTAGTTTGGTCTAGCCATGAGCGCCATGGTATGAGCGCTGATGATGTAGCTCCCCTTAGTGACCTGGAACTCAGGACAGTCAGTAGAAGACCCATGTCTGACTGTAGCCCTGTGCGTCAGATTCTGTCCATCTAGGACTGAGGCCTGCCTGAGCCTCCCTCACACCCTTCTTAAGCAGGATGGCTTTATCCAAGCGGGATTGGCTCCTGTGGCTCTCATTGCATATCATTTCTTAACTTTTTTGTTGTGTGAGTTAATCTCTGATTCAGGGTAATACTGGCATTAGGGTCAGTGTCAGTACTGGCTTCAATAGCAATAAACAGTTTCTTCTACCTTAATTCACTACTGAACTTCATTCACTACTATTCATTTTTATGCATCATGCCTTAGAATCCGTGAATCAGTATTTGGGATCTTTTTTTAATGTTTAAAATTAACATGATATTTGCAAGTGTGACATAACTCTAAGGAGTCTGTAAATATTACTCGTTAGTTGTTACAACTCTTAGCCCTCTTTCCCACATTTAAGAAATCACATCATAATTGCATGTGGATGAAAGCGAGATCATTATAGTTCTAATTTTGAATCTCTTGTAACTTACTTATAAAAATATTTTGTAAACATTGGTTTTTTAGCCTTTATTGGGGATTTCTAACATATTAATGTGTTACTTTTTTTTGGTGAGATTCAAGCCCTGTAACTCATAAGCTGTTTGAGGAATTGGATCTTTTCTGCATGGGAAGATAAGATGCCAGCCTTCTTATTTTAGAATTACCAAGGAACTTTAAGTTCATGTTTATTTATAGTTTTGTATTTTACTTTATAAAGATCGATATTGTGTGGGCTGCTAAATAGCCTAGACCCTTGACCAACTTATTCTTAGATTTTAAAAATTGTACCCATGGTGTTGTCAGTGATGGCAAATCTTTTAGAACTTCGAGTGCCAAAACCTCCAGCTGCAGCACACATAGGTTTGCCACCACTGTCTTATCCCTTGGGGATACAGGTTTGTCATAATAACCACACAGATTCTATTAATTATTTAAATTCATTAGCTACATTGACAATACAGTCACGTAAGTCACCTGTGAGTAAGCCACTTGTAAGTATAGAGTACATCCTGAGCCCTTGAGAATAGTTCTAATTGTGATAATTGATGTCACAGTATATGTCGTTGGGAGACACAATGTTACCATATTTTCTTTAAATGTTAGTTTGACAGTCTCTTAGAAAATTGTCCTGATTTGCAGTGACATTCTGATTCTGTATCTCTAGTCTTTTAGATCAGAGTCAGTGTCTAGGATGATACCTGTAAGAAAATTGTAACAGCTGGGCTAAAACTGATAAAATGTACATCCTGCAGTTCTTCCATGTCTTAGCTGATACTCTTGGTCCAGCGCTGGAAGATACACTGACTGTTAGGTAGCCCAGCAGGTCTGTGTGAGGGGAACCATCTACCCCCTTAAGACTCTCTTGAGCAGTGGTTTTGAGGAACTTGAACTCAGGGTGAGAACGGTAGATCCAGTCCTCATTTCTCATTTCTCAGATGAGAAACATACAGCCAAAATGTGAAGTTACATGCCTAAACCTACATAGCTTGCCTTTTAGCTTAGAACTAAGTCATGCTCTCACCCCCATTCCTGCCGTGGCATTCAGCTGTAGATGAGGCTGACTACTGTCGCTCTGTAGCGCCCCCATTGGTTGAGAAGGGAGATCACGGAGTCCTGTGCTCTGCAGCATCGCCTGCTTACTGAACGCACCACCAGATAGGTGCATTCATTGATCCTTGTGTGAAGAACTTGATAACCTCTGTATTTTAGCCATTTGCTCCATAAGTGTTTATTGGATATGGGTATCATTCTTAATGAAACATATTCTAGTAGAATAAACTTTAAGCCAAAACATCCAGATACTGGTAATTTGTAATGCGGGGAAGTAAAATAAGATTGCCAAAGCAGCTTCCACTGGGGGCTAAGGGAGATTTCCTGAAGAGCTGGTATCTGCTGAGCAGAAGCCGTCCAGCTGAGGTTCAGGGATCTTAGCGTTCCAGGCAGAGCTGTGTAGAAGCCTTGAGGCAAATACAGGATTCTTACGGTTGCTGAAGGAAAAGGTGAGCATGGCTGGAGAGTTGATGAAAGGGGAAGAAAGTGGGTAAGAGAAGAGGGAGGCGGGCCTGAGATGAGCAGGGCTCTGAGGGCCAGGTGAACAGTTTGGAGTTTGTTCTAAGTGTGACGGGAAGCCATGGAAGAGCCTTAAAGGGAGCGATGCTCCGATTTACATTTCTTAAAGTTCACTCAGTGTACTTTATGAGAAAATAGTGTACAGGGAAACAAATAGAATCAGGAGAGCTAGTTAGGATGCTGCTACCCTGGTTTGGCAAAGTTTGGGTGAGTATTAGTCGCAGTAGATAAAGTGGGTAATGTAGGGTTTATTTTCGGATCAGAGTTTGTAGATTGTAGGATGGAAGAACAAGGAATCAAAGATTATTTCAGATGTTTATTTTGAGGAACTAGATGGATAGTACCCTTATAAGTGAAGGAGAATATGAGGTCAGGTTTGTTTGTTTATTCACATAGAGCTAGAGATCAAATCCACAGCCTCATGCATGCTGTGCAGATGCTCTACTGGAGTACTGTCCTCCAGCCCCCATGTCAGGTTTTGATGGCATACTTGAAATTTAGGCCCCTTAGGGTGGGGTTTACTAAGAGACTTAGGAAGTATCTTGATTAAAAACTTTCCCCTTATATGAGTGCTCTACGCTAGACTTCACAAGCCTCTTTTCTAGCAATTTCTGAATTGGGACTGATTTTAAGATAATCTATGAAGCTACAAGGCAGGGGTTGTGTGTGTGTGTATTTTTGTCTCTGAGACAGGGTCTCACTATGCAGTTCAGACTGGCCTTGAGCTCACTTTGAACTTTTAACAGTCCTCCTGCCTCAGCTTCCTGAGTGCTGGGATTACAGGTGTGCACCACCACACCTGACTAAGAGCAGGTTTAATTGAGGGGAAATATTATATTAGATGTTAAATCAGCTCTCCTGGGAGACCAAGACTTGCTGGTGTTTCCTAAGCTTTGCCTGTCACCACCCTTCAGTAGAAGAAAGCACTGACCTCATTTCCTTAAGATCTTGTTGCATTGAAACCTTTGCAGGCTGTTGGGTCCACATGAAAGATGAGAGCTGAATCTTTAGAATTTTCTAGGTGTGACTGGAATCCGTTGATGATTTGTTAGTATATGTTATCATGGTTGTGGTATGTAATTCAGAACATTTATCGGATTCATCTACTGTGTTTATCATGTACTTACTGTTGGAGGAAATGATAGTCATCGCTGGGATCTAGTGAATTACTTTTTTTTTTAACAGCAAAAGCAGACATGTGTCGATTTAAATTCCACATCTATGTATTTGGCAAGCGGAGGCCTAAATAAGACTGTTAACATCTGGGATTTAAAATCAAAAAGAATTCACCGATCTCTTACGGTAAGCAGTTTTCTTTCAAATCTTTAATAGAATGGATATTTCCTAGTGTATTAAGTTGCCCAACTTCTGTTTTTCAGCTTTTCTGATAAAATTAAAGTGCTTCAAAATCAAAGTGGGATTAGGGAAAGTACAGGTGCTAATAGCCCAAAACGTTTTTTTTGTCTTTTTTTCCCTCCATATACTGTCTATTACTAATGCACACTGTCAGTGGTGAAACTTTCCTGTGTTTTTCCAAGTTCTGCTGTACTGCTGCCTTCATTTTCTTCCGAAGTGCGGTTTGTTGTCACCACGGATTTGTTTAAAAGCACTTTGGAAAAGATGAGAGTGGTTGTGGGATGATGGTGTTAAATCCGGTAACTAGACCTGGGGGTTCAGCTTTTCAGTTCTGTAAAATGTTTGGCTGCTGCTGCTGTGTGTTATTTTTGCATATGTATTTTCAACCTCGTAGTGAAAATATTTCTAGAATAATACTTAAAATTAATGTTAGCTTTTTGTAGTTTCAGAAAATAAAAGCGTTCATCTCAAGAAATCTATAGTTAGGACTTTTTCAGAAGTGTACTTTTGACCATTTTATCTTCTGATATTTAGAGGTTGATCTTTTAAAAATTATTTTTACTGTCTGCTCTTTTAAAACGTTAATGTAAAATGTGTGAGCATATCATATGTTTGTGCACAAGTGAATACACACGTGCAGAGAGAGGGCTTCCTTTAACCTGCCCCTCGTGTACTACTTTTCCGGTTGGAATCAGTGGTGACCGGCCCAGCCCTGACCAGTGGTGTTTTACCTATGCCCACACCTTCTTATAAACCGTTCCAGCTCTGGACCTTTTGTAGCAAGTACAAGACATCATTTTTCTTATGTGTCTTCATGTCATTGAGTTAATTTTCACTGGAGAAGTGGTACACTCATGATCGATTTTCTTTTAACCTGAATTGAAAAACAGTCTCATTATTACTGCTTTAAATATGCCTTTTATACCTCATTATTTTGGGTATAAACTTTTAAGAGTACCAATCCTAAGATCTCTGCCGTGGAATCCATGAATATGAAAAAGTACAGCAGGTCCCTGCGGTGTCAGAGCAGCCAGCACAAGCAGGGGCAGCTCCCAGGGACCCCCCTCTGAAGCGGCCCTCAGCGAGCTCCATTTGACAGAGCTGCCGAGCACCTGCTGTGCTTCTGCTGCTGGGAGGACATTAGATTTACAGTGGGGGGTGGTGGTGGTGGTGCACGGTCCTTGTCTGTACTGAAAAACTCAAATAGCAGAAATACACATGGCTGTGAGTGGTGAAAAGGAAGAAGAGTTGTGGAAGGGAAGAAAAGGTAACTGAGTTTGGTTGCATTCTTTACTGTGCCAGCCACTGTACTTCCAAAGGCTTGTTTTTCCTGTCTCAGCAGTGTTTGGGCTTGCTCACTTTCCTCCTTGCTGGGGCAAAATCACTGACACCTTTTTAGTCCATAGTTGGCTGGCGGAGGCAGGGAGCCCTGGCCAAGGGCCTGGCAGAGGAGAGCTGCTCACTCCTGGAGCCAGGCAGTGAGGAAAAGGAGGAGCCGGGAGGGTGAGGTACTGTGAGGCCGGGCCCCCGTGACCCTCCGCTTCCCACCAGAGCGCCCCTGACAGTGAGTCACCTGGACAGCCCCACAGCACAGATCAGCTTCCCAACACGTGAGGCTTTGGGGCCATTTTAAGTCTAACCCTACCACAGCTCTGCAGGACAGGGAGCACTGTTCGTGCGTGCAGGTGGAAGGGCAGAGGAGTTACAGAACCTGTGCTGGATCCAGCCGCTGACCAGCAAGCTCAGATGCTGTTCACTGTTTAGTCCTTTACATCGTGAAAAGTGGATTAAAGCTACCTAGAGGGCGGTACCTACTTTGAGTCAGGAGTACCTTGGAGAGTCAGAGGCCATTAGAGTCTCTGGCCATTTTTATCCCATATTTTAAGAGTTTCACATACTCTTATCACCCTGCATTGCCTCTTCTGTTCCCTTTTCTGTCTTTTGCTTCTCCAGTTATGCCATATATATATATATATTTTTTTTTTTTCTTTCTTTTTCTCCTTACTGTTTGAAGTTCTCAGAGTACTTTGTGCCTCATTCATTCAGTTAAGTATTTGACTGATCAGTGGTGATGGTGAGATAGCTTTTGCTGTTGGATATTTTCTCTATAGCCTTTCCTCCACTGATAACACAATTTTCTGGTATGTGGTTGCTGCTTAGTAAATGTTCACCAAATGACTCATTTTTCACGGTTGAGATTAAGATGACACCTGCCCCTTTGTAAAGCCATGGAAATTATATTGGACTTCAAATTCTGAATTCCCCAAATAGTAACAATGCACAAAATATTCATTATTCCTTTTTTCTTTTTACCAAACACCTCTCTCCTTCAGGTATCCGTATCTTTGATTTAGGAAAGGAGTACCTGTGAAAATGCTTGGACCATTGGAAAAAGTACTACATGTGAATAACACAGCTTCTACTCTTGATAGTACATAAATTATTAGGTACTAGGCTTTGTTTATCTTAAGGTCTGACGCTAAATTATTAAAAAAACTCATCCTGAACACTTGTATGTTCTTGCTAGAAATGCACTTTGATGTTGGGTAGAAGTACTTTAAACTCAGTTTAAAGCCCAATACTTTTATGTCCCCAAAGCGGGTTCACATTGGGTTTGAGAGGCAGTGTGGTATACTGGGCGAGCGTAGGCTTTGGGCTTGACTGCGATGCGTCTTGGCCCTGTCACCTGGAAGTTCTGGAGCAGACACAAGTTTCTTGACCTTTATAGTCTTCATCTGCATAAAGGCAAAGTGCCTTTGTCTCTTGGGAGTTTTAAAGGATCGAATAGTAAGGCAAGCTCTCTGCACCCACAGGACTCAGTGAATGCAGTGCAAGCGGCTGCACATGACCATTTGACTTCTCCCGTGTTCCCTTTTGCAGTGGGTGGTGTCTTTCTCTTCTTCCTGACTTACCTCTTATCCTTTCTTTGAGGCTAAACTCAAAACTTTATTCCAGTGATCTGTTACACATGTGACACTTTCAGAGTCGAATCAGTTCACAGGATGCCTCCTTTCTCTGGCGCTTTTCTTTACCACTCATTTAGCCTTTGCTGTGTCATTTCATGTTAGTTTAATGTCCTGTCTTCTCAGGTGAGCTGTAACACTCATGGGCAGCACTCCCAATAGCTTGCAGTGAGTGTTGCTTGTCAGCAGGACTGAGTGCTTTCAGGGAGATGCTTAGCAAACGCCTTCTGTGCTGTCTTGTTTCAGGGTGCTGGGACCATTAACGTGACTGTGAAAAGGGAATCTGTTTCCTAGGACGGTGTGGGGTTGATGATAGAGTTTCATACTCATCTGAGCAATCTTAAGAACTTACTCGAGGGAAATGTTAAAGCAGATGTTATACTGACACGCATTAACACCTGCGCTAGTTACAAAAATAGAAAGATGGATATTCGAAGGTTAGGGCACTGTACTTACCTGGATTTCTCTCTTTCAGGATCATAAAGATGAAGTCACTTGTGTAACGTACAATTGGAATGATTGCTACATTGCTTCGGGATCTCTTAGTGGTGAAATTATTTTACACAGTGTTACCACTAATATATCTAGTACTCCTTTCGGGCATGGTAGTAACCAGGTACAGTATATGTGTATTCAAAATAAAGTTGATAAGATGGACTTTGAATTATTTGGTATATGACCATGAATTTAAGCTTTTAAAATTAATGTTGAGCTTATTTGAAAAACGTCTAGCTAATTTTTAGTGGTGCTATAAGAAATGCTGGAATAAGCTAATACATTTTAGATTAGGGTGCTTACTCAAATTCTGTGTTATAATTGAATTATTTCCTTCTGGTATTTATATTTAACAAAATGAAGCTCAGTAAGCCTAAAACAGGGATATTAATTTTCTGTGGCATTCCTGTCATGGAAATGTTGCGTACTTCAAACTATGTCAGCTACAAGATGTGTACTTAAGTTAATAAATACTACTGGGTAGACTGAGGAAAGGCGGAAGGTAATTTCTTTCAGTATATGATATTGGTTTACTCATATATTTCAGATTAATTATGGAGTGAGGAAGCTTTTCAAAAGAAAATTATTCATATGTTTTCCTTTGTAAAAACTTAGCCTGTAAAAATTTCTTTCAAAGAATGAAAAATTTCTTAAGAAATCTAATTCTTGGCTTATTTTTATGACAAATTTCCAATAAGGTAATCTTCTTTTATTCCTTTTTCTTGCAATTGCTTTGGCTATAGCTATTATCAAATAAAATAAGGAAATTCTTCACAGTTGGAAAGAAATTTTTAAAAGCATCCTAATAATATTTAGAATTAAAGGAACATTTAATGGGTAGCAAGTGAACAGAAAAAAGCCCTGTTTTAAGTTTCATGTGTTAGAAAAAGGGAGGTATGCATATCAGTGATATGAGTGATGTGCTTAAAAGGCTTACAGTGATGCAGAGCAGTGGAGAGAGAGCAGGACAGGGAAGATTGAAGGACAGAGAATTTTGGCTAAGTTAAGGCTTAATTCACATCTTTGTTTTTACTGTGAAAATATAACGTGGACACTTTGCCAGTTATTTGATGCTAATGTGTCTAGGGTTAGCTTTTATGTGTCAACAACATGGTTATAAAGGTGACTTGTTTCTTTGTTTTCAGTATGTTACCATATGTTTAAAACGTGTAATAAGTGTATGAATGTATAATATCTGAGAGATAACAAAGGATTTTAACTGGCTAATATAGAACTTTTAGAGAAAAAATTTCATATGGAGGAAATCATAGATAAAATTGAGAAAGGAAAGTACGTCTATTTTGTATTGGATCAATGTGAAAGATTAGAAAGTTAAGAATGGTAAAGACTTGCCAAAAGATTTTGAAAGAGAGACACAATATTTGGCTTCTGCTTTGGAAGCCATTTAGGGGACACTACACAGACTTTAGTTAATTGAATGTCACACTTGAACTTGGGGTTCTCCTGTCCCCTCCCTAGGCAGCTGGATCGCTAGCATGTGCTGCCTTGCTATCACACCCAACAAAAGCTCTTAGGGTTCCTGTGCTAAGCTCATTTGTTTCCTTTAAGTTTCTTTTTTGTGTGTGTTGCTTTGAAAAATCTTGTCTGTCCCAAGTTTTGAAGATAATGTCTGCTGTGGTTTTAATGTGTTTTCAAGATTTATATGTTGGATTATATCAGGTCTGTGGGCCCATTTAGGGAGAACTATCTTAACAATATTGATTCTTTAAATCCTTGAATCTGGTATAATTTTTCCATTTATATAAATCATCTTTAATTTTTCTCAGCAGTGTTTTGTTGTTTTGCTGTAGAAATCTTATATTATCTTTTGGTGGATTTATTACCTAGTATTGGATTTTTTGATAGTGTGTTATAAATTGTATTCTTTCCTGTTAAATTTTATTTTTCACTACTCTGACTTGATATACAGAAATGCAGTTTGTATTGAATATTATCTTTTTACCTAGGAATCATACTAAATTCATTTAGTAGCTTTATAGATTTTTATTTTTTTGCATTTTGCAGTTTATATGCTGTCATGTTTTCTGTAAATAATCACTTTTTTACTTTCCGGTCTTTACACATTTTGTTTTTCTTTATTGCATTGACTAGGATCTCTAATCATTGAATAGAGGTGGTGATAGTGGGTATCTTTGTTTTGTTCCCAAATTCAGGAAGAAACATTCACATTTCTATACCAAGCCAAGCATGTTAGTAATTTTGAGTTTTTTTGGTGTTTTTTAAATCTTACTGATTTGGTATATGTTATTCATGACTTATGTGGGCCAAATTTTCTATTTATGTTGGAAATGTTAAACTATTCATCTCCAATAATTTATGATGTTTTAAATTTTTTCTTTTTTCTTGGTACTGGGGATTAAACTCATGGCCTTGCACTTGTCAGGCAGGCGCTTAGGCAGCTGAGCAAAATCCTTGGCCCTTAATGTTTTTTTTTCTATAGTTTGTGCATATCATAGATAGAGCTTTTCTTATTTTTCTGCTTTTATTCTGCTTACTCTTACCTTTTGGAATTTATCAAGAAAGATACTTTAGATGTTATTTTTTGTTGCTTTTTATTGCGTTTTAAACATTTATTTGAAAGTATTGAATTTAAGAAGTATGTACATATCCTTTAGTTTTTCATTGGTTCATATAAGATAGCGCCTTACTGCCTGCTGATTATGGGGCGAGCACTGGGTTCAGTGCTGAGGCATAGTTTGTGTTTTAGTCGTAGCAGTAAGTAGGCGAGTGGATCTTCAGCCAGAGAGGTACCAGGGAAGTGGAAACTGTAGGGGTCCAAAGGTACGGGAAGAGGGGTGTACCTAAGCCATGTGAAAAGTCAGGAAACATTTTAGAGGAAATTATGTCTCAGGGGCAGTCAGAAAAGTCCTGGCCATTCGGACCTGAGGTAGGGAAGGGAATGGGGAGTGAGAGGATTTGGAAGAAAGCATTTTACAGAGATTGTCATCTGTGTAGCGTATTTATTACCATTTATTGTGTTTCAAGCACTGTGATCTTTGATTTATGGTCTGTCCTTCAGTCTTTGCTTCTAGTTTATGGGGTGTGTGTTAATTACTTTTTTGCAATTGAGAAAATGAGATTCCAGGACTTTCAGACCACAGAACAATGACCTGTTTTAAAGTTCAAGTCTTTTAGAGTGGTAGCAGAGCTTCCTTTGGAATCTCTCTAGCTCAGGAATATCCGTGTAACAATGTGTAAGTGTTTGAGAAACTAGAGCTTCTGAGAACATTATACTATTTCCTTGTAAACTAATGCAGGAGTTTGGAATTTACTTGTGTCTCTTTCACAGCGTAAAGAAATACTTTTAAAAGTTCTAGGTAATAGATTGCTATACTGTTGATTTTAAAAGAATTTTCATTGAGTCACATAGAAGAACTGAATCAAATTTATCTTCCAGTTTAGAAAAACAGTGCTTCTTAAAGGTTATCTCTTGTCCAGGGTTAGATCAGCCAGAACTGGAGATTTTCCCGTGCACTCTGCACTGCATCTCTAGGATCTTAGGGTACTGCTTTTCATGGAAGGTCTCACATTTCTTTGATGTGCTCTAGGGTGAAGCACTTAGCTAGCTGCGTGAACTCGAGCAGGCACTTAACTCCCAGCCTCCCTTTCCTCATCTGTCAAGTGAGAATGATAATATGTTTTTGACATTTTTTTTGAGATGTTGAAATTGATCACAGTACCGCATATGTATTAAGAGGTCGTGGGTATTGGCTGCTATTGTGAACTTTCAGTGAATGATTATATCAGTCTATTCAAACAGCTTTTGTGATTTGCTTTTTTAGTTGAACATCTTCAGGTTTCATGCATTCCCTCCAAGCCCATGCTAGTTTACCAGTTGTAATTGACTCAGTAATCATACTTTATGTCTTTGATTCGAGAGTATTAAAGATGTATTCAGTTTCCTCTGATGCACCATTAAAACAGAGGACGTGGGCTAGGAAGTACGAGCTGGCCTCTTGCAATGTGAGGATGTAGTCCCATTTTTCTTACTGAGGAAAGGTTCAAGTTTTATGACTGTATACTGAAACATTCCTTTTATGTTAATAGAATATTTAAAGTATTCTGCAATTAATTTTCTAAAAACAGTTTCGCTGTACCTTATTGATTGTTGACCAAAAGCATAGGATTGCAACTTAGTATTTTAAAAAATACTAAGACTTCTCTAAATTTATTTAAATTTCAAATACATTAATTTCTTAAGTTTAAACAATGTTCATGAAAATCTCAAGGCTGTCAAAAGTGGACATTTTGAATTCGGATACACTGTTTTTCAGCCTAATTTCTCTGTTGGGTTATTGAGAAAACGACAGAATGCAACCATAGTTAAATTGAAATTTTTATTTTTGTTTCTGTGATTTGAAATGCTTAATAATGATCAAATTGGTTTCTTAGTGAAAGTGACAAATCCTTGGAGTCCCAATGAATCTCCATCAGACCGAATTTCATATCAGAAATGAGATTGCCTGAATATATTTAGAATCTTCCTTTGAAATGTCTGAGCTGAGTTGAAGCTATTAGTTTTGTGTAGATCACAGTGTCTTTCTGCAAGTGAAAAAGAACCTGGCTGCCCCTGCAGGACTGCCGGGCTGCCAGACTTTCTTGGGTTATAATTACCTGTCATTGTCTGGCCAGTTCCCCAGCTCAGGCCCTCACACAGACCCACTTGTGTGGCCTTTTTCACGCTGTGGCCTCTTCCAAAGCAGTTAAAATGCAGATCCATTTCAGCCACTCGTAGGTTAAAACATGAGTCTAAGCTCTGATTGGTGAGATTCTCTGAGATTTTATATACAACACAATGAAGTAGACATTAAATTTACTTTTATTAAGTGAAATTTTTGATGTTTTACATATACATTTTGTGTTATTAAGCCTACTTGAGTTATCTGGTAAATGTAATTATTAGTTACATTTTTGAAAGGCTTATTTTGTCAAGAATGGGTTTAGGATTCAGGATTTCGCTGAGTGGTAGAACACTTGGGCAAAGTCCTGGGTTCAATCCTAGAATTACGAATAAAAAAGAATGAATTTAATTCTGATTTGCTTTATTTGGCTGGTTGTTATGTGTATACCTGAATTTATATTAAAAGAAAAAGATTGAAT